CACAAGAAGCAGATTGGCAGTGCAGTTTTCTTAGCTAGTGTATGGCTAAACTTTATAATAATTCAGCAGCCTTCTTGCTCTCATCTTTCTTGAGAGTTTATTTTTTAGTCATGCAACTACAAAAGAAACAATTTGTCACCTTTCCTCTATAGTTGCTTACTTTTTCTCTCTCTAGCATCCACAAGACAACTTTGCAAACAACATCTAAATGTCTAAACAGTACAGATATATGGATCACTAAAATGAAACACTAAACAAGAAGGGGGGGTTATTACGTCATCAACCTTACCAGATCTAAACTATTTACACAACTGATAATGGAGTGCTGGTGTTACTAGACAAACAAAAACAACTCCTGCAACGCTATATATAATCCGAGGCAAATCCGAAGCATTTTTTTTTCTCTGGGTCTTTACCATAAACGAAGGGCCAGTGATTGTCCTAGAACATTGGTCTGAAGAAGCAGGCATAATGCAACTAAACAAAAGGACACTCTAATCCCCAATAATGCATGCCACGGAGATCTATGTGTACGAAAAAAGGAGGTAAAAAAGAAAGGCCCCAACTGTTATCAAATCAAGAGAAGAACTAAATGCTAGATAGTCAGAGATGCAATTAAGAAGAATAATCAAGAGCAGCCCAAGACAGAAAAAGGTGTGAAAGAAAACACGGTCACATTCGGCCCTTCCTTTATTGGTAACTAGGAGAATAATAGTAATACTTGTAATACTAAGATGATGATTTGTGAAACATGAATACCTGAAGTTAGTACAAGGGAAAGCATTGCCTTTGCAAAAGAATTATGCTAACAGATGTATAGTTTTTGTGTAAATACTGCTCTCATCACTTACTGTTACGGGAATGATATATTTCTTCTTCTGGTACTGTGAAATTACTGAACACAGTCTATGGGATATATACATTTTAACTTATTACTTACTACCTAACACTAAAAATAAGTAATCAATTAGAATATAGCATTAGCTATTAATGCTTATAAACACACTTCTTTTGAGCAAAAGTTTGTTAGGCCTGATATTATTACTAAGGAAAGTTGTCATAACTATTAGAAAATAGTATAACAATATAGGAATAAGCTTTATCATCCACTAAAACTGGAGAAGATCTAGAGTATCAGCATTTGCCAAGTGGGAGTTATTGTTTGGATGATGAGTGGAAACCATATTCGGCTGCCTCGGGTTCATGGCTGGGAAGTGACTCGCATAAAAGTTATTGGTCATTCGCGGCGCCATTGCGGCAGCAGAGGTGGTCTGCTGCTGTGGTTGTGACATTCTCTGCACTGCCCACCCACCAGGGAAACAGTTGTTATTATTTAAGTTATAGGCATTATTGTTAGCAAAGGTATTGGAAGCCATTCCTATCCCTCTCCCAACCTGGTATGGCTGAGGATGGGGAGGCAACATCCTGGGGTTCTGAACAAAAGGTGTGCTGGGCCGCAGCTGGCCAGCCACACCCGCACCAAAATGAGCACCGGGTTGAGAGGGGGATGCATACATTTGCATTATCTGGGCATTGAGTGCTCCAGAGTTAGACCTACTGCTCTCACCAGAACCTGAAGTGACATCCACAAAGCTAAGCAAGTCGTCTCCAGGGTTGGGAACGGTGTCTTTGCTCCCTGCTCTGGCACCCATAACAGCACTCCCCAAGGTATTGTCAACTCTGGGTAAGGCACTTGCCTGAGGTTGGCCTGAAATCTGAGGAATGTCCCTCCACCTTAAGCACCCAGCTTGTTGGCCATCCACATGCACTTTCTTAGGGTACAGCAAAGAAGAGGAAGAAGAAGAAGTAGTGGTAAAGGACGAGGCAGAACAGGGAGAAGAGGAGGATGGCAGAGTTGAGAAAAAGGATGTTGATGAGTAGACTGATGATGGATTACCTGAAGGTGGGAAAAATGCCTCCATAGACCCAGAGCAAGGCTGAGTGCTCAAGCTCGGGGGCTGACTGCTGGCTGTTCCTGCTGGAGCTGTCCCTCCTGTTGAAGGCCCATACTGACTAGCGGGGAATGACTGGTGGGTGGGAGGGAAGGTCTCAGACCCAAACAATGCCGCAGGGGGAAAAGCTGTGGTGGGGCTCACATCCCCTAAGGACTGTGTTTGCTGCTGCGATGCTTGACTGTGTTGCTGCTGTGGCTGCTGCTGTTGTGGTGCTTGTTGTTGCTGTTGTTGTGTTATCTGTGTTTGTTGTTGTTGCTGTGGCTGCTGCGTTTGCTGCTGCTGGCCTGCTTGTTGTGATTGCTGCTGGACATTACCACTATCACTGGATGGCACTCCTATGTTTCTTTTCAAACCTGAAATGAAAGCCAAAAAATGTTAACTGTGCTGTAACTAAGCACCTTCACTCTCACATATGTGATCTATTACGAATTCTAAATTAGTAACTGAGTACCTGGCTTAATAAATAATGACTCTGCCACTTAATGAACACCATGTCACTATTCTAGTCATCAAGAATCACTAGCAATAAGCTATGTATAACTTGTGATTGAAAGAGGGAATCATCTTCTCTAGCAAAACAGAGACCATGTTGTACTATTGCCTCCTTTGACAATTATGGTATGTAATATTATATTTTATTTTATGTGATTTTAACTCACTTACGCCAGATGACATCGAGGAATATTATAACAAACTAGGCCTATATGTCAGTTGATAACTAAAACTGCTATGTGCAATCAAGACTCCTCAGAGGTATGCATACTAAACAGTTGTTCACTTGTTTGGCTCCGAGTTAAGTCACTGAAGAGATGCAGTCTCCTTAAGAGCTTCTTTTTAACTTCTTTTCCTAAAAACTTACTTATCCCACAGACGCAAGCACAGAGAAGGGTAAATGTAGTCTCATTTCTCCCTCAAGCACAGCCTGGTGCCTGGCTTGCTTTGGGTTAAGTGAACTAAAACAGACACCTCCTTCAAAACCTTTTTTCTCATGAGAATCCCATCTTGCAAGACATTAATAGACTCTATATGCACTGACCTTGCATATCCATACACAAACTTTTAGGGGGAAAAGTCTATAATAGACCTTATCACTAGCAGCAGACTCAACACCCTCCAAGGAGATTATGCCTCTTTTAAATGGCTTTCACAATACCAATGAAAACTTGTCATGAATAAGTTTGCTTACCTTATGCTACCATGGCAAAACAATACTATTATCTATTACTATATAACTTATTACCTTAAAAGATGAAAAACACCTAGATTATTTCTCTATATGCACTTACACTTAATGAACTTCATAACAATATCACCTTTACAACAATAGTCAACTATCTTATAAATGATATACATGAAGACCAACAAAAAAAATAAGCATAGGATGACTAGCTACACTGACAATGAATCTACGTAAAAACTTAACTTTGCATGTCCTCTAACAAGTAAAAAAGAAAAAAAAAGAAAAAAGGAAAGAAAAAAGAAAAGAAAAAAGAAAGAAAGAAAAAAAAAGCAGCCCACTCCCTTCCTTTCACATGTCCTTTAAAAACAAGTAAAAAAGAAAATTCAACAGTTCCCCCCCCAATGTTCCTCTTCACATCACATCAACAAACAAGAGAGAAAATTAACAGCCCCCCCCCCACCCCACTAAATCCTCTTTACATCTCCTCAACAATAAAAAAAAAAAAAAAAAAAAAAAAATTAACAGCACCCTCCCTCCCCACTCACACCCCCAAGAGTAAGAAAAAAAACCCACATACCTTGCGTGTTTTGCAGTGGAGGGCCGAGGGGGAGCGCCCCCACAGGACCCCCTAGAGACCCGGGATGCTGCGATGCCTTTGGCCGCTGCCGTGGAGCCACCGAGGTGCTCTCTATCACTGGCACAATGGGGGCACGGCTGACCTTCACTGACGATTGCTGTTCCCTCTCGCTGACCATCTGACACAGCTGGTCTAGTGACGGCACGGTGACATTCTGCAAATTGTTTGTTTGTGGGGATTTAGTGACTTTTTTTTTTTAAATCTATAATTACTACAACTTTCTGGACTTTTTTCACTTTACTTAATTATCTGAAAAAAAGAAATCACAAATTCTGGTCTGAGTCACAACCTTTACTGAGCAACAAAAAATGACTTATGTATTCAGAGAAGTGTGATAACGAAGTTAACTAAAATAGATAATAACACAAACAATCCTTTCAAAATTAATATATTTGAGTCCTTCAGCTGAGAAAATGTAGTGTTCACTGCAGTTGTGCTTTGCAAAACATCTCTACAAATAGATGGCTCCACAAGTCAAGACACCAAGGAGCCAATTAGTAGACCTCATGACCTCTCCTGAATTCAACTTTCATTGAGTTTTCAGGATTCTTTTTTCTTTTTTAATAATGCTATCAATATCAATGCTGTTATTACTATCAAAGACATTGTAAATATTATAATGTTCCTGACATTACTAATAACAATATGAGGATAAAAACAAATATTTCCAAAATATCAAAGAAAGATTAAAGAGTTGAGATGCCATATTCGTATATACCCCCCCCACCCAGCACTGCAGGATCAAATAAACAGAAACACCTTCTTCCCCCTAAGACATACACACACAAGCTTCAATACCTCCAAACCCCTCCACCTCTACATCAACAGAAAAAATCAACACACAAGCAATCCCTCACCCAAAGTCTTCAAAGAAAGCACCGTCCTACTCACATTGACATTTCTGACAGGGCACTCTCTCCCAGCCAGCATGAAGGTGACGCTGGCTACCTGGTAGATGTCTGGACGTGTCTCAGGATCTGGGTCTAGCATGTAGCCTTCAGAGTGAGGGAGAAATCATGTAAAGTAAATCACGAAAAGTCTCTCCTGGCTTTTAGATCCTACAGGAGTTGTTTGAATGGGGTATATTTTTCCAATCTTTGATAATAATCATATTCAATCAATTTCTTATTGTATCCCTTCAGCTTTTATATTAATTTCCCGATTTTCTACCCCAGATTGACAAAGCGTATCAAAATCAGGGAAAATCTCAAAACAATCTCTCATTTTC